CAGGAAGAGAAGCTTTATCTTTTCCCCTGTGATGCAGACATTAGAGGGATTGTTTTGTTTTGCCTAGAAGATTTTGAACAAGCAAAATGTATTTATAACAATGTAAACCTTGCAACAAGTAGTATCTTGACAACCTGCAGTGTAGCATCATTGGCTAATAAGGTACACATCCGGGTTACATTACCTGGATAGCAGTAATGGCTGTTCTGCTGAGCTCTTTGCACCCTGGTTACAGAGCTGTAATGGAAAAGACTTTAGAAGTTATGTAAAACTACAAATGCTTATGGATCTACTACAAAAGAGAAATTAAATCTGGGAGGCAGAAAAATATTTCTCAAAATAATCTGACTTTCTCTCCTTTCAGTTATTCACGGATCCTTTGTGATTTCCTTTCTTAAGTCTTTTTCTTTGTATCAAACCTGAAACTGCATTAAATATAAAGATACATTGTTTAGTAGAAGTGTTCTTATTGCCAGGATGGAAGAGACTAAATGGGGATTTGAGAGTCTGTGAACTCAAAATTCTCTTTTGTTTTCCATCTGCTTTGGCTGGTCTAATGACAAGATACCCTTTCCTCGTCCTCCTAATCTTACCTCAAGACTGTCCTCTGGTCCTGCAGTCTGGGCCTGCATCACTGGACAGCAAAAGGGTTCCTCTGGCACAAGCTGCATGTGTGGTTCGTGCTTACTGCGCATCACCGGCAATCCCGGCTGCTTTCCCTGCAACAGGAGCAAACCATGACTGGTTGCCTGTTTCTCAGGTCTCCACCAACAGCTCAGATGTTTGGACTGAATCCTTCAGTGCTTACCAGGAATGACAGATCCTTCACTAATTCTTACTGTTGTTGTGATTACAGGACATAAACGCTTCAATGACAAACAGCACGGTGACAAGCAAACCTCCTGTAACACTGCGGCTCGTCGTCCCGGCAAGTCAGTGTGGATCCCTTATAGGAAAAGGAGGTTCCAAAATCAAAGAAATCAGGGAGGTAAGTTTTGGGATGTCTGCCAGGAACACTAGCTAGCTCAGTGTCCTACAGCAGCATGTCCTGCCACCATCGGCTGCTGCACTTTGCTCGTTGCATGAACATGAGCGACTGCTGAGCAAAAAGGCTGGAATAGCCTTGCTCTGAGGGAAGCAGGAATCCAGCACAGCTACACCCTTCTGTCTTCATGAAGCTAAAGACCATGTGTGAAATAAATAAACAGCTTTACAACATGTTTGTCTCTGATGTGCAATTTAGCAAGGCAACAATTTAGCGACATAAATTATTTGTCCAGTTTCTCTTTGGGCAGCCCCCTCCCCAGCAATGCTCAGGTCATCCTGAGTTGGAGCATTACAACCATTTCCAAATTTTAAACCGTACTTTATCTAAAGGTATTAATTCAATGTGCTGTGCTAGCAGTCATTTTTTCCTTTTTTAACAAACGCAAAAATTACCATATGGTGCCAGTTTTAATTCTTCCATCCAGGACTGCAGCAACATAGCACATGCCAGGGCAAGGATCCAATGTTTGTTAATTAGTCACACAAGAAAATTGGGTAAATGCTTAGTTATGTATAGAAAATCAGAATATGACCTTTCAGAAAAATGGATTTTTATTCTGGAGAAAGTGACAGTATTCCTTCTCAATTTGTATTCATTCATCATGGGATGAGGTGTTGAATATCAAGGTAACATACCAATCAATTTTTTTTCATGTGACTATGTCAGAACAGAAGCTTTTGACAGGCTTAACCAAAGTGAAGCTTCCTTTTTTTATCCAAAAGGTAGATGGAAGATGGTATTTTGCATTTCATTTCAAATGTGAAAAAAGTTAATAGATATTTTTCTGTCCAATAGAATTTGGTCAGATGTCAAAAGGAGTGGAAAATCATTTTATCAAAAATTTCTATCCAGCGTTTGCTGTGAAATGTTGGTTTATGGTAGCCTTGGAAGAACAGGTGATGACGAAGACAGTTAAAGCTCTTATCTTGTTGACTTTCAAGTTCTTCCAAATTATTTCATTTCAATTTCATTATCCCAGGAGGTTTTTTAACAAAGTTCTTGCTGAAGGGTTATCTTCACTTTTCAGGATTTGGCTGCTACTGAGTCTTTTCTCTCCTTGCATACAGGGAAGTAAAAGCAGTGTGTACTGCTTCCATTAGCTGACAGAGCTGCCAAAGAGCTTTTGCTGCCAAGCAAACAACATGTTGTTCCTCCATAAGCCTCTCGCTTTGTAAACTGTGTTTATGAAAACATGCAGAAAAAAAATTCAGAGCCCTGCCATTTGAAGGGTGTCTCTCTGCTTACTGAGACCTTTTTTTTAAGTCCTTGGAATGTTGTTATTTTATTTTTCATTGAAGAGTCTGAGTTCAGTAGTTGTTGTCAAATCAGCTTTTAAGATGTGGGAGGAAAGAGTCACTTGATGACACTGAGGAAAAGAAAATATTATTTCTGTGCAGATGTTAGGGTCACAGGAAATCCTTTCTCTTTTTTCCTTTAATGCCAAAAAAAGATTTATGAGAGAACTTTGTAGAGATGGGAGAAGATACTAGTGTGTTGAAGTGCGTTTTCTGGGTGTTCAGTCTGCCTTACGCACGGGACATTTCTGGCTCAGATCCTTCATGGCCACTGGACTGTTGTTGGTGTTCGTAGCAGTTTGTGTCTGGGTGAGTCAGACACAGCAGGGCCTGCCTTGGCAGACACCAGGGCAAAGCCAGGCTAAAGCCTTGCCACTGGAGGATCATCAGAGAATCATAGAATGGTTTGGGTTAGAAGGGACCTTACACATCATCTAGTGCCAACGCCCCTGCATGGGCAGCACTACTGTTAGAGCACAACCATCGGACCTGATTTCTTGTGGTCCTTCAGATCTTTTAGGGGTCCAGGAGAACCATCAGCAGCAGGAACTCAGCAGATTTCTTAGCTGTTTTCATATAGGAGTAGGCGTGAGTCTGATCTGTGTGCTTAGCTCTAGGTCTTACAGCCGTTGATACTTTGGATTTTATTTTAAACATTGGCAACTCCATCCGGAGCACTGAGTGAATGCTTCTAGGCCATAGGCTTTTAAAGGTGAGATGGGCCTTCTGGTCTGTGAACATTAAGTGATGTAACTGATTATTCCAGTGACCATAGTTTCAGAAGCAATTACAGACTAGTCTAGTACAAGGAAGGAAGAGGTTAAGGCTAATGTAGCAAGAAGTCACACTGCACATTTTCTTAAGCCTAAGGGTAGTGGACAAAAATACTTCTCACTTTTTTCATTGCTGACATATGACAAAAAGTCAAAGAATAAACAGGATGAGCACTGGAACCAAATGTGTAAATGACTGCAGTACTTGGCAGAGTATTTTGTGCTAGATGTAAAGATACCCAGAACTATATTTAAACAAAAATGATGATGAAACAGGGAAAAAAGGATCATCCAGCTTGAGATGTGGTCTAATTTCATCATCAGACAACACACTAAGCAGCAATTGCGTGAGGGATAGTCTTTTGTGTTCAGTCACATACCCAGGAACAACATGTAGGGTTGCTGGGCTATTTTCACGATAACAACAAAAAAAAAGAAAAGCATGACTGATTGATCAATTTATGGCAAAATTCCAAAGTCAGTTACAGAGCTACAGATTGATATTCTGGCCTTAAACGGCACTAGTGAATGGTCTGTGCAATCAGTAATTTAATCAGTCTCTGGAAAGAAAAGTAAGGTGTTGTGTGTAACTAGCAGGAAAACAAATTAACTCCTTGCCAACTGACACAAAGTTAGTGGTTAAGGAAGAGACTTTTTTTAAAAAGCTCAAAATATTGCATTGCAATAGCAATCAGGAATAGATTTTGAATATGTGAAAGTGCTAACTCAAATATGAAATGGCTGTTTGTTGGGTTTTTTAAACTGGAAAAAGGTTTTTCAGGATCCTTGTGAAGTAATACCACAGATTTTTTTGGCCTCATGTACTTTTTAATTTCTTTGAGGGTTTTTAGTGGGTGCTTTGGTTAGCTAAGATAAATTAGTGCCAAGATTAAATTAAAAATAAATAAATATTATTACCTTCTTGGGTGCAGTAATGAGTTAAAAGTTGATGATGTACATATATTTAATCAACACTGATTATAATTTAGAAGTGCTTCTGTACCATCCTGAAATATTCCAGAGTGCAAGGCAGCCCCAGATTTCATCCAGACAAGCAAGTTGGCTATCAGTGGATTAAAGAGCCATTTGTCTGAAACTCCTTTAGCAGATGTTCTTCAGTTACCAGCGATTTTTTTCTTTCTTTTCTTTTTTTTTTTTAGTTATTGAAAAATGCTTCATTTCACGTTTTTTTAATCAGCATCACAACTGTCTGAGAGGATTTAAAGTCTTGTCCTGAAATTCAGGCCACAATTTGATTCCTTAACAGCTACTGAGGACTAATCTTCCTTGGATGGGAGTGTTTGCAAATTGGCTTGAGCAGGCAAATCCTTGTTCTCCCTGACCTCAGTTACCCTGTCCAGGTGTGGGTTTACACGCGCACACACACACACACACACACCTGCCCAACAGTGACGTTCTCTTTGTCTCTGCTCAAGTCCACAGGTGCCCAGGTGCAGGTAGCAGGGGACATGCTGCCCAACTCGACGGAGCGCGCAGTGACTATCTCGGGCACCCCCGACGCCATCATCCAGTGCGTGAAGCAAATATGCGTGGTTATGCTGGAGGTGAGTCAGCACTTGGGCTGTCACTTCTCACTCGGGAGATGCTGAAACATATTATTCATTTTTCAGTTGGCCTGAATTCCCCAGGGGTGCTGCCTGCCCTTCCCGTGCCTCTTTCAAGAGGACTCTTCTGTGCCCTGCCTGGTCTCTGAGAACTTCTCACAGCAGGGTGAAGTAATCAAAGACCAGGGCTCTCATTACACTGCCAAACAACAAACCAGGTCCTGCGTGGAGCTGCAGCCTGTTCTGAGATAAAAGCATTTTACTCTGATGCAGAATAGGGCAGAAAACAGCTGGTTCTCGTTCTAAATAGAAATAATTCTGACTAGCATAATTTAGATTTAACAGGATTTATACAAAAAAACTGAGCATTTTAACCCTTGCTGAAATGCCCATAATTTCATGCAAGTATGTTTTTCAGCTGATTAAGTTGAATAGAAGTTTGAAAAAAAGTAATTCAGCCAACCAAAATGAGATATTTTGACCTAGTAATCATAACTTTACATGGAACATGAAACATCTCCACGTTTATCATGTGTTCTGCTGGAAAATTTTCTGGGTTTTTTTTGTTACATTTGATTTTTTTACCTAAGTCAACTCAAGGGCTGCATCTCTGACACCCTACTGTTCTCTTATTCTCCCAGCAGAATGAGACAGCACTAGGGCTGTTGTTTCTGCAGAAGTATGCAATGCATCAAAATGACACACAGCCTTTGCATCAAAATATCATACAGCCTAATGCAAATAAAAGCATAAACATTATTAAATCCCCAGTATTTTACTGTGGAAAAGTGACTTTTGTTTTTTTCTCTTTTTTTATCTGATGTGAGGAAAGCATTCCTTTTTAAAAATGCAAGAGAACTGAAAGAAAATATATTTTAAAAAAATTTAGTTTGTTGGAGATGGAGTACATGGTGTCAGTAGTTTTTAGCTCTGTGACTACATTGTATAGTCTGTTGTCCAAGTGACATTCGTGGGATAAATAGTTATTTGTTAAAGAAGATGAGAGAAGCTACTTCTCAAAATGAGGGAGACACTCTCCCATTTTCCGGTAGGTAGAACCACTGTTCAAATAACTGGTTTGGGCATAAGAAGTACGTAATTTTAAGATAAGTCAAACTGGAAGCAGCACTAAGATGACACTGGTTTAACTACAGTTGGCTTCTTCAAACCTTTACAGAACACAGAAAATGAATGTGATCTGATTTGCAGCATATATTTAATTTGGCAACTAACACTTTCCTTAACATGAAATGCCTAATTATATGGTATTAATGGAAGCGGTGTTGCTGTTACCTTCTTTAGTTCTAGTTAATGCACTTAAACCAGGACACCATTTTGCTAGGTGTACCACAGACAATTTGAAACCTTTTTTCCAAAATGCAGGTGCTTCTGCTCTATTTGTGAGAAGTCAACCTTGGTTGCGGGTTTTTGCTTTGGGTACTTACCTTGGGCTACAGGGATCAAACTCCCTTTCTATGCATTATGGAGGCCATGGTTATGATCCTGCTGAAGTTGGGAGGATTTTTCTCCAACCTCCCAGCTCAGTCAGACAAAAGGCAGGATCAGGATGGTCATTTGCAGCTGAACGGCTGACTTAATTTAGTTGGTAAAACAAGAAGCCTTGATGTGTGGCAGGGTAGAAAAGATCAATAAGCAGGAGATGTGATCTGCGTTAACAGAGCAAAACCACAGGCCAGATTCTTCCAAAACATCCACAGATGTCAAAATTGTGCCCATGCTTCCTTAAATACCTTGAAATGCTTGATGAAGCTTTTAGCTTCATACAACAATAGTGGTAATGCAGCCACGCGTGCCAGCACTGCCTGTTTGGACTGTGCAGGCAGCACCTTGGCTCTTCCCCTTGAAGGCCAGACAACTGGCTTCTGGCTTGCTTTTGGGTGGATGGGGTGGTGGGCTGAGTTGAGTTTGCATGTCTTCTTGTCTGCAGGGAGCAAAGTAAAGTGTGATTTTTTTTTTTAATATTACCTCTTCTTCATTCTGCATTTTGATCACTTTGTGTTTTTGTCTGCAGTCCCCACCCAAAGGTGCCACCATCCCCTACCGTCCCAAACCTGCCTCTGCACCTATCATTTTTGCAGGTGGCCAGGTAAGAGCAGACACCATTTTGGCTTCAGCTGGAAACCACACCGTCTTGGCCCAACCTCAGCCAGCGCCTGTTAGTTTTCAACTTTTACTCTTTTCTGCCTGGTATAGTATTGATGTGCTTTGTCTGTCTACTCTGTGTGCTTATGGTTTGCAGGAAAGGGAGAACACTGCATTGCAAACCTGACACAAATTGTGATGACTGGCATTTTACCAAGATTTAAAATTAAATTCTGTAATCAAGAAGAGTTTGCCCTCCTGCGAATTGAGAGGTGTTCAAATCAGATGCTCCCTGAGTGGGACAAAACTGTTTATTGTGGGGGTTGTTTTTTCACTCTTAAGTTGCAGCTCCACCAGCAGTATAAGCTGTTCCATCAGCTTTTCAGATATGATCAAACAGCAGGATATCTTTGCTCCTGAAAGGTGCCTTTTTTTGTCCCTTAGTTGTCACATTTTTTAGGACCAAATAGTGTGTTTTGCAATAAAAATCTCTACACACATAATTTCTGCTGCTTTTAGTTCCTCAGACCAAAGTAGCAGTGGGTTTGTGAGGTTACGGAACTTCATACATGCAAGTGTAGACCTTCCCAAAAGTGACATGCACCAGCCTGCTTGATAACACAAGCACAGCATTTATGTTTCTTTTTTATATAGTAAAGTTTTGCCGATTGCCCCTTCCTCTTAAGCTGTGTCAGTCAGCTATATCTTTAAAACCCCATCTGCGATGTGACTTACCCTTGTCTTTTGATAATAGTGCCACTGAGACATGGTGGGAGTTTGCTCTGCCATCATTTATTGCAGGAGGAATGCTTTTTAGTAGCTGATGAGCCAGGCAATGAACACAGCTGATACCCTAAAATCACCTTAGGAGGTTCACAGGGGGACCCCTTAGCCAACAGGCTAAGAGTAGCATTGCCCGGATATGTGCAGAGGTGGAGGGGTGAGATGCTGCAAGCCCTGCCCGACTCAAGGGGAAGCTGATCTCCTAAATCTGGCCTAGAGGAATGCAGCCATCTCTCTACTTAGGATCCACATATGTGAAGCCTCTCTGGCAGTAAGGCACCCCCACCCAGCCAAATCTTTTCCCCACAATGACAGCAAGGCTCCTTTTTAAGCTGTTTCCCAATGGGAAGAGCCACTCACCTGCATGGTGAAACATCTGCAGGGAGGTCCCACCTCCTGTGGCATTAGCCCATCCCAGGACATCAGCCTGTCATGGGGTGGTATGCAGGCTGCTGGCCCACCACTGTAGGCAATTTTGAGGTCATATGAGAAGCCAGACATGGGGTTCCTGGAGGGGCAGAGGGCACAAGATGTTGCTGGTGGTGTTGGTGGTACGGTCACCACGATCTGCTGGTTTATATGGAAGCTCCTGCACATCTCAAGCTTATGTCAAAGTGCCATTGCTTCTGACAGGCCCCTGTAGTGAGCTTTCTCTGAATTTTTGTCTCAATTCTTGCCATCTACTCTGTAATAATATGTTGTGATGTATATCCAGATATTCATAATCTGGATGTGGTAGGTTTCAATTCCAAATTTTGAAGCCTGCTGCTTTTACTTGTCTTAAAAATAAGAACTCTGTTTCCCTAGTGGTCAAAGTTGAGCTGAAATTTAAAATCATTTGCCCAAAATTGATCTGTGAAAGTTCAGAATAATTTGCTCCATAATATATATATTAAGTTTACACTGTAGTGTTTTCCTTTAACAAATAGGTGTGTGTATATACATATGCAGCAGCCTATTTTACTGGTATTGTAATTGCCACTCCCTTTAAAGAATGTCTCTTTATATGATTACTCAAAAACCTTAAAGTTGTTTGTTAGAGCACTCTGAGTGGTTTGTATAAATAATTGAATGAGTTCTATGTTAAGGTCTAATAGCTCTTGTCGTCTTCAGTTTTATCAGTTAAAAAAGTTCTCCCTTTTCTAATGCAGCCTTCTTGATGTAGGAAAGAGCATGAGACTGGCACTTTCTGTTGCTTTGAAATTAGTCTCTGACTAAGCAAACTTTAAGAAAATGCTTAAACTGTGTTTGGGAGTCAGTATGGAAAGACACTTTAATCACATTTCATAAGTGGAAATTAGTACTGGAAATAAATTTTTTTCACCCGTGTTAATTCCACCACCCAACCTTTTGGCTAGGCTGTCTGAAGTTATTTGTCCATTCTGAATTGCATCATGCCTGTCTTGAAAGGTTTTGTTTTGTTTAATGCCTACATATCAAGCAACACTAGCAAAATCAAGTTTCTAATTTTCATTAACAAATTTGGGTTCTTCTGCTTTTAATTCTCTTGTGCTTCTTCAATAATACATTTCATGACAGTACTGAAAGGAAGCTGAACACTGTCCTTCCCTGCTCTGCCCCTTACCAATATTTAGCATATTCACTGGTGAAAAAATAAATTAATCCAGCCTTCCTGCCAGTTGGAAACAAATGGGAGATTTCTACCCACTGTGCTACATTGCTGGTTAGATGGGTACTCACAGGGTACAGCTTTGTTTTTTGTTTCATAGCAGTTTTATGGTTTAAATTGAGGAAGAATTGTAGACCAGGTCATTCCTGCAGTTGCTAATGTCAGTACATCAGTAGGAAAGTTTCCCTCAACTTTGATGGACCTGTAGCTCATGTCCTTAGTGAAACATTATAGTACAGATGTCTCAGAAACCTCTACCAGGCTTATACTTGGCATTCCTCAGCCATCAAAGGGCACAGTTCCTCTGCCAAGGGGTGAGGCGGTCAAAGACAGCTTTTCTCAACCTAAATCAGCCAGATGACCTTTTGGGAGCCTAAAAAGTGGAGAGGTTTTTTATTTTACTGGGAAAGCAAATGCAAGGTTCATCTTGTCCAGTTTTATGTAGTTGTCAATGAAAACCATAAAAGCAAAGCTAGTCTGAGCTCTGAATGTTCATGAATTCGGTTATTTCTCCAGTTTGCTTGGTTCCCTGTATGTATACATAGAATATGAGGGAGCTCAGGGACAAAGAAACGAGTGACATATGTTAGCTCATGATTTTTTTTGCAGTGATTTCTTGCTGGTTTGCAGACCACTTCTTGGGAATGGCCCATGTAAAAGATGTTTTCTCAGTAAAGCCCAGATCAGAAAGGACACTTGTGATCCAGCACAGAGGCTCAGACACCAAAACGTGGTTTCCAGACCCATTGTTTGCTCATGGACCTGAGCACCCACCCAGCACCATTTCCAGCTGTGAACCCCCCCTGAGGCTGTTCCTGTGCTTGGCAATGCACAGAGCCCCCACTGAGCGAAGCAGTGTAACACCTCCTTAAGGTTGTCCTCATTTGGTAAAACACTTAACCACATGCTTTGCTAGCTTGAATACGTGCTTGCTTAAGACCCAGTAATGGCAGTCATCACCCATTTTTGGTGGACTGGAACCTTTTCATGTCATGTATAAGTCATCAGTACTGGCCATCCCTAGCAGATGTGCGTTAGTATGTTTGCCCATGAGCGTCCCTTTGAGCCCTGTCACACAAATTCCTGTCTGCAAGCTGCTTGTGTGCATAATGTTTGCTGGATTACGGCCTTGCTTTATAACTAACTTAAAAACTAAATTAAATGTTTCCTCTTCAGAAGGGAAATACTACTGCAAAAATGTGCATCAGGCAGTTGAGGCATTAAAGGTTTTAATATCTGAACTCCATTAAATGAATTGTTCTGTCATTTACAGAGGATTCATTACTTTCTAAAAAGGCCTTTTGTCAAATAAGCATTTTGAAAACTAAGCTAATCAGCTCTCTTCCTGTTTTTAATTCCCCCACTACAAATATTTATACATGATAATTTGCCCTTCAGCTTTCCTGCCTGCCTAAGCACAAGCACATTACAATTTTTCTGACATGCTGTTCCTTTCAGAAAAGTCCTACAGGATGTAATAGAAAATTACAAGCTCTCTATAGGTTTTTCTTTGTAGGCCATTACAGGGAGTTGAACAGAGCCAGCAGGAGAGACGAAGGGCTGTTCTAAGTGATGCCAGGCATGCCACCATATCCCTCCTCGCTTACGGGCTTTTTTTTGCCAGAAGCGATGCCATAAACTATACCTCTAGCTCTGCTCTTGTGGTGCAGAGAGGCTGGATTTGGAGGGGAGAGGATATTTGGCTTCCTGTGGAAGATAAGACCACCACTCTGTGGGTCTCCATCGTGCTCCTATCTCCAAACCAGCATGCTGGCCCCGTGCCCAGGCGCTGCAGGACAGGCTGCCATCTAGCATGTGTGCTCACGTACCCACTGGCATGGCAGCCTGGGGCACAAGAGCCATCGGGTGCACCAGGGCACACATTTGCTGGCACTTAGGATCTGTTGCTGTCAGTAGCCAGATGAGGTGGCTCAGAGTGAGCTGGCATGTGTCCCTGTGCACAGCAGACCAGAGTTGGGTGGCAGGGCAGGGAATCCCCTGAGCAGGTCTGCCCCATCCTCACTACTCCCCTTGCTGCTTTGGCATCAGCATCTCCCCACATGCCTTGGTGGCTCTGAGTGGACGGGGCAGCAGGGAGAAGTGTCCACCTCCCATGCTCCTTGACCCCCACAGTGTCCCCAGCTGTGCTCCCAGCAGATGGAGATGAACTAAAGAGAGATCCTGAGGACCAAGGTCATCAGTGGCTCAGGCAGAACCTCCTGCTTGGAAGGGGTGTGTGGACAGAGACCTTTCTGTACTGTTCCAAACATTTTCAAGCAACACAAGACAATTAAGCTTCACTCAGCATTGAAAGCAATGCAGGTGGCATTTGCCTGGTGACCCAGGAAGAGCTTTTCTGATAAGAACAGGAATGCTGCTTGTCCCACCTGACTAACCTCTGTCTTATCTATGTTTTTTGTTTTCAGGCATTCACAATTCAGGGGCAGTACGCCATCCCTCACCCAGACGTGAGTCCTGCACATGTAAACTACTCCCTTTTTCTGCCTCTCCCTCTTATTTGTTCCGGGCAACATTTGCTTTCTACAGTCATCAATAAAGACACAGCCTAAGGACACCTTTCCTGAACAGCACACTGTAGAGCCAAGTGTCAGCCCAGCTGCATCTGTTACCTTGTGTAGTAATTGCTAGAAAGTACAATGGCCCAGGAACAAATGACAGTTATCTTTGTCCTTTTTGCATGTGATATATTTGAGTTCTTTTAATATGTAATTCTACAGTGATTAGTTAATATTAACAATAGTCATTACATGTAATAACAGTAGAGATGTCATTTATAACCAGTTTGGGTTTTTTTTCCTCTACGGTAGATTAGAATGAATGATTAAACCTTTTTTTTTTTCCAATATAATTTTAATTAATCCAGTTTTAGAACATGTAAGATGGTTTCTCTGCTCTGAAATAATTCCATTTGATTGGTTAGTTCTAATTTCCCATCCTGCCCTGCAGTTGACCAAGCTTCACCAGTTGGCTATGCAGCATCCCCCCTTTACTCCCCTTGGGCAGACCACCCCTGGTTTCCCTGGTACGTACCCATGACCCCCTGGGGATGTCCTTCTTCTTAACAGCTTTGTTTCCCGTGGTCATTACATCATTTTAATAATAAATGTGGTCAATGACCAGCAGTCCTTTTCACACATTAATCTCTGTTCTTCCCTCCCCTACCTCTGTTACCATTCCTTTCATCATTACTAAAACGTGCTTTGTTTGTTACATTTATTTAATCACAACCGCTTCCTTTGTGCCATTGGCTAAAAGCCCTGAGTTTTTTTGGTTCAGTCCCTGTAAAGTTATTGTGCACCATACAGCATGTACCAGTTGAACCCAAGTGAAGTACTTGTGTGTTCATCTTGTCAAATTTCCAGTTTGGTAACGTGGTTCAAAAAGAAGTAAACATAGGAAAACAGTATGTAATTGTGGTACAGAAATACTGAGGAAAGAAATTACAGTGCACTGGAACTCAGATTCCTTGTAGAGCCAAATCTCTAAAGAGCATCTGTAATCATCACTGCTGGGACAAGTGCCTCTCTTCCTATTAGATATGCAGATATAGCTACAAAATGCAATGGAATTTTAGTTAAATTAAGGACTGCAAATTTAGTCCATGCTTATGAAAGCTGAAGCTGAATTCTAGATTCAAGAGTGAAAAGTCATTTAACCCTGCAATAAATAATTTTTCCTGTACTTCACTATGTACATGCTTGGCGTTTAAAAACGTTGCAAAACAGAAGTATGTATGTACTGGTACATGCTTTGTATGGCAAATAACATTTTATCACATACATCAAATTCTGTGAGCAGCTTAACTGTTTTATATTCAAGGTAAAATAAGTATATGTAACTCTTAATTGAATGTAAACATAAGTAAAATGTAGTAAAATGTCTTACTCTTTTGCAAGAGTCTTTTTTTCCCCCCTACCTTTTCTAGTTGGAAACTAGGGTTTTTTGCATGTCTTTACAGAAAACAATAGTAAAAGAAAAGAAACAGACATGACATCCAAAATATACTTTTGTTTCTTCATGATGTATCTGATAAAATATCTACAAAACTAAATTGCCTTTCCTAGCTTTATTATTTTCCTAGCCTTATTCTTGTCATTAACATGTTGCTCCTTAATCTTTCCTGGTTATATTTGTGAGAGGTATGTTTCTGTAATGTTACAGTGTTTTAGAGCAATAATTCCATTTTTTCCTAAACATTTTCCTTTTGTCCACCCAGTTTACAAACAAATGTATGGAGCTTAGAGTATTCTGTACATTTTCCTTCAAAAATTGCCCTTCCCATCATTTCTTCAGCAACTAATCCCATATATAATTTTCAAATTTTCTTAGGTTAATTTGGTCATTCTTAATGTTTTAATTTTTCTTGTTCATATCTATGTATTTTGTTCTGCTAATTGCTCGCTTGACTTTCATTTTCCGTATTATAGCACTAACGGTAGACAGGTCAAATTTCAGCCATCCATCCATTAATTTCTCAATTGATGTGTTTAGGACAAACTTAAGAGAGTATTTTTAGAGGACAGCCTGCATTTTCTAGAAGCTTTTTATGACCCTGTGGTATCTCATGTGACATTTGTTGCTTTGGTGGGTTAAAGGTTAATTAAAATAAGACTAATTTAAAATTACTCCAGCCCTCTGAGTTTTGCATCTCTTGCTTTCTTTTCTGTTTCACTAGCACTTCTCTGTTTTTCTTTGCTTCTCTCTTTTTTTTTTTCCTTCTTTCTGTATGTTTCCTTCTTTAAAATATCATTTGTGTGTCTTGCCCTTCTTGCAAACAACCGGCGTAACATTTTCCCTCTGTCCCCTGAATAGGACTGGATGCCACCACTCCAACCAGTTCCCATGAACTTACTATTCCCAATGATGTAAGTGGACCAATAGTCAGTATCACTTTCTCTTCTCTCGCTCCTCTGCTGCCAGAGGGGGAACCTCTCATCTTCGGTTCATTTATAAAACACTAGTCCCCAGAATAAACTGTACAGCATTTACTCTGTTGTGAAGGGGTTATTAGAGGTTAGTGAAATGCTGGACAGAAGCAGCAGCAGTGACTGTCCCCTCTCATGCCAGGTCTCCAGTGCTGCTGGTTTAGTTGCACGACGGTGCTGAAGTGCTTCACCAGCTTTCTTAAAGCCTGGGTGCCTGCTGCTTGCAGTGGTTTAGATCAGAGTTACCAAAATTTGTCCCTCAGGTGGCACCAGCATGGGCAATCTCAGCAGAAGAGTTAAAGGGTGTGGAAAAGGATGTGGGCTGGATTCCTCCATGCCAGGGGGGTGGAGAGCTGGCACTGCAGCCACTTCTGTTGTGCCAGACTCTGCTGCACCCTGCACTTACCTGAGGTGGCGCTTTTTCTCGAGCAGAAGGGGTACTCAAGTTATGTAAAGGTGGAATATA